GAACAGCTCTGTGCTCTGCCACTTGGTGATGCTGGCAAATGACAGACCTTGTATGTGTGGCCTGATCATGAACACCAGGCAGAAGGGTTGGGAACGGTCTGGTACGAGGTACAGGAATGGTCTTCCACGCTGTGGTTGAGACTTCCTTAAGTTACTGTACTGTGAGCAGCTCCTGTCATCTGGCTTAATTATCTGAGTAATAAGGTCACTTTGTGAATCAGTTCTGCCAAAATAATGTGTACTTTATTAAAAAAGAAAAAGGCAGCACGTTGTGCTGCTTGTGTGACAGTTCCTGGGGGTGTTGAATGGCTTCAGGTTGCTCACCGTTCATTCCTGCCTTTCCTAGACTCTGGAGGTGGCTGCAGTGCCTTTGCAAGTTGTTTCCTACAAGCTTCTTAATTCACTGCAAAGGTCAGATGTGGTAAATTGTCACATTATTTTGTGTGGAGCTGCTACTTGTTTGAAACTCCCGAGAGTCCAGAGACCCAGGAGGATCTGCCCAGTGTAACTGAGTGTATCTGTAAGTTTGCATCTAAGTCATCTTCTCTTTTATAGGGGCTGAGTAAAAAAGTTGGGGTATCTTCCTCCATCCTGCAAGGGCTTTGGATCTCCTACAGCACTGAAGGTCTTTCAATGGCTTTGGCATCTCTGAGAAATCTCTACACCCCAAACATAAAGGTACTGGAGGAGAAGAGCTGGAGTGGTTCAGAGCTGGGGTGGTTGAGAGTTCCCATGAGAAGTTCCAGGAGTGCACAGTACCCAGAGCTGGAGCTGCCTGCTGTGGCAGTGGGGTTTTTTTACTATCTGGGATGATCCCTCAACTCTTCTATCTTGACCTGGGATCTCCTTTTAATGGCAGCAGGTGAAGAGTGAATTTGCACCAGTGCAAAATGTTTCAGTTGTGCCTCTTCTCCACAAAGAGGAGGGTGTGACAACTGCTGTTGGGATTTGACAGCCCCGTGAAGGGCTCTGCCTTGGGCAGGCACCAACTCCAATGGTATGTGCCAGTTGAGGCCCCAGGTGCCTGTTAGCATTGGTAAGGATGGACATGTTAGCTGAAGGGACTTCATCTCCACAGCAACAAGGATTGATAGAGATGTCAAAATGTCCATCATCTGCAAGAGCGTTTGCTCCAGCTCCTTCCCATGGGGGCAAAAAGTACCTAAAACGGGGCCGTTTATTAGGCAAAGTGTTTTTATTGTTTTCTGTCCTTTGCTCAGAAAAAACACAAAGGTGGCCCTGCTTTCAATTCTTGTGTTGCCCTGAAAATAAGCTGGTGTCTCTTCATAAGGCTGGGCTGACAGGAGCTCTCCTTGCCCCGAGCAGGTCAGTCGGCTGCTGATTTTGGGAGGCGCAAACGTGAATTATCGGACCGAAGTTCTGAACAACGCGCCCATCCTCTGCGTCCAGTCCCACCTGGGCTACACAGAGATGGTGGCTTTGCTCTTGGAGTTTGGGGCCAATGTTGATGCTGCATCAGAAAGTGGCCTCACCCCCCTGGGCTACGCAGCTGCTGCTGGATTTCTGAGTATTGTTGTGCTGCTGTGCAAGAAACGAGCCAAGGTAAAGTCACCATGTTTCTCTGGAAGCTGTTTTGAGTGACCCCATGTTCCTGCAGGGCAGGGCACAAACTGCAGGCAGGGCTCAAAGTTCTTAGAACCACACACCCATTTAGGTTGGAAAAGACCCTTAAGATCATCAAGTCCAACGTGGGATCCTGGGGTGCATAAGGACGAGTGTGGCCAGGAGGTCAAGGGAAGTCATCCTCCCCCTCTGCTCTGCCCTGGTGAGGCCACAGCTGGAGAACTGGATCCAGTTTTGGGCTCCCCAGAATTCAGGTCTGAGGAGGGAGCTGCCTAATCCCTCCGTGCAGGTGGGCCCCACAGGTGGGTTTGAGTTGGAAGGGACCTTAAAGGTTATCTAGATGCAACCCCCTGCATGGGCAGGGACACCTCCCACCAGTCCAGGCTGCTCCAAGCCCCATCCAACCTGCCCTTCAACACTGCCAGGGATGGGGCAGCCACAGCTTCCCTGGGCAACCTGGGCCAGGCTCTCACCACCCTCACACCAAAGAATTCCCTCCTCATGTCCAACCTAAATCTCCCCTCTTCCAGTTTAAAGCCATTACCCCTCATCCTATCACTCCCTGCCCTTATAGAAAGTCCCTCCTCAGCTTCAGGAAAGTCCTTGAACCTCATGAGGTTAACATGGCAACGTTGCTTTTGCATCATGGAGTGTTCTTTAAATATCTCCTTGAGACACATTTTCCCAAAACTTCTATCAGGCTTGTCCTAGAAAAATACCCTTTGTTTAGCTTTGTGGTGAGTGTTTGGAGTTTTAATTGCATATAATGAGGCAAGTTTAAATATTTTGTTGAAGAAGAAAATGGTGCTGATTTTTGAAGTGGAGCCTCCTGGAAACAATTTGTGGTTTCTCTGTATGTTTAGCTTGAGTTCAAAAAGCAAAATATGGGTTTGTGTAGTTTTGGTATGAAAGTCAGGATGGCTGGAGGGATCTGTTTAGATCTGTTGTCTGTAATAATGTGAGGACAGGATGAAGGAAAAACAGAATTCTGCTTTTGGGGGGATATTTTGAGACAGCTGGTGACTCCCTGACCCTCACTGGTAAGAATCAGCATTCCATCTTGGAGAACAGGAATATTTTGGGCTCCTCAGTGCAATGCAGAAGTCCTGCCAGTCTTGGCTTTCCTTGAGCATCCCTAATTTTATTGAGGAAATACCCCAAAACCAGCTGGGTTTAGTTGGAAGGCTGAGATATTTCGTTCTGGCATAGAAAACTGCAACACTGATTGCTGCAGAAACTGAGAAAGGAGAAATATGAATATATTATTAATCTGAATGATGAGAAATAGTTCTAAAATATTGGCATAATATATTAATAGCATTCTGAATATTAGCATAATATATTAATACCATAATTTCTCATACTTACAATATAAGAAATGAGACATAAAATGCTGTGGAGCACTGACAGGGTTAAGCCACAGGAGGAAGGTCACAGAGCTGTCTCTCCTCTTTTCTCCAAGTTACTGGGATAGGACCCAGAAATCCCAGTATTCGGTGGAATCCATGCCCTGGCCTGAAAAGTCCAGCAAATAAGTTCCTGCAGGGCTGCCAAACACCATCTCTCTTTCCTGTTGACTTCTGCCTGCCTTGGGTTCAGGCTGAGGCCTCTCTGAAAGAAATAGCACCTGGAAGACAAGCTGGTTGTCCTTCTGTGGCCTTGGGTCAGGGAGGTGGTGTCAGTGTGTGTGACTTAAAGGAAAACACAATTGCTGGACTTGGGGATGCAAAGGGAAAAATGCTTTTGGAGCCTTTGAGTGTGAAGAAGATGGAAGAAACCTACAAACTCATGGTAACTTTCCCAAAGCAACCACCTGTGGGCAAGAAGGTGAGCCTGGGGCAGAGCTTTGGGAATGGTTGTCTTCTGGTGGTGGGAGGGCTGCTTCACCAGAAAAATGCATATAGAATCATAGAATAGTTTGGGTTGGAAGGGACCTCAAAGATCATGTAGATCCAACCCCCTGCATGGGCAGGGACACCTCCCAGCAGCCCAGGCTGCTCCAAGCCCCATCCAACCTGCCCTTCAACACTTCCAGGTGTGGGGCTTCCACAATTCCACATGTGGCATTATTGTGAAACTGGGGCTGGAAACTCTGAAGAACTGAAGACGTTTTGCCCATAATTTGACTCATTCTGTCACCTCTGTTCAAAGGTGGATCATCTGGACAAAAACGGTCAGTGCGCTCTGGTTCACGCCGCGCTCAGAGGACACTTGGAGGTGGTGAAGTTCTTGATCCAATGTGACTGGACCATGGCTGGGCAGCAGCAGGGAGTGTTCAAGAAGAGCCATGCCATCCAGCAGGCTCTGATTGCTGCAGCCAGCATGGGCTACACTGAGGTAGGACCTACTGGGCATCGCTGCCACCGCGGGGGGCTGTTCCCCAGCCAAAACAGTGGCCACAGAGGGTCTTGCAGGTGGAGTCAGTACCTCTGTCCTACTCTTCCTCCCTTTCCCATCCCAGCAGTGGGGTTCATGGATCCCTTGGCAGGCTCTGTGGTCTGGGCAGGTCTCCAAGAGAGGACATTGAATGAGTCTTTTAAGTTTTTGGGATAAACCTTTAAGCAAGGGTGGATAAACAGTGTGTTGCTTACACTGCTCCTCCAGCACTGGCAGGGGAGTGGGAGACCACATAGCTTTGGACTGGGGAATGAAGAGCTGGAGAGCCTCCTCCTGTTGTAGAATCCCAGACTGGTTTGGGTTGGAAGGGACCTTAAAGATCATCCAGTCCCACTCCCTGCATGGGCAGGGACACCTCCCACCAGCCCAGGTTGCTCCAAGCCCCATCCAACCTGCCCTTCAACACTGCCAGGGATGGGGCAGCCACAGCTTCTCTGGGCATCTCTTCTCCCCCCATGCTGGTATCTGTCCCCACAGGCAGGGGCAGGCAGCAGAGCAGGCAGGGCTCCCCCCAGGTACCCAGAACATGCTGGTTGGAGCTCAGACCCCAGCAGATCATTGTTTCTGCTAGAATGAGAAAAGCATTTTCATCCTTTAGTCACTAAAGGAAAATCTCCATTTTCTTCTTAGCCTCTTGCTTTCTCACATCATGTGATCCAAACACTGAAATTTTCTGCCACTTCTCAGTCAATTAAGTCCTTTAATCTACCCTTTAAAGAAGTTAATTTGCTTCTCTGGGGTTTCAAGCATCCACAGCTGGAAGAAAGACTCAGTGGAAGTCTTGAACAGCCCGCTTAAGAACAGTATTTGCTAGAAAGGAGCTAATAGTTTCTGGAAGTAACTTCATCTTGGCTGGAGCTTAAGCTAATGAAAAGGCTAATTATTATAACTGCTCCAGTGCATCACCTGCCCGTGCCTCAGTTTCCCCAGCAGTAAAAGGGTATGATCATACTCATTGCAGCCTGCCCAGTGGGGGTCAGTGCCAGTGGACCCTGGGGTTTCTGATGGACTCAGTGGGGTTTCCAGTGGACACAGTGAGGTTTCTGATGGACTCAGTGGGTTTCCTCACTGGTGACAGCAGCTGGAGCTGCAGATGGAGGCACATCCCCTGCCCACGCTGGGTCACCTGCAGCAGGACAGACACAGTGATGAGGAGCTGCTGCTACAAAGGCTCATCATGTGCAATCATATCAAGACACTCGGAGTTTGGGTTTTTTTGCTTGTACAGGACAGCAAGTTCAGGGCTTGGCCTCTAAAAGAACATTTTCCTGAGCTCAGAGTGCCAGGCAGAGCCTGTTCCTTCTCCTGGGTGTACCCAGAGCAGCTGGCATTGAGATGTCAGCAGTTTATATCCAACACATCCACGCTGGTGAGCTGACATGTCATTTTGTTTCAGATTGTCTCCTACCTGCTCGATCTGCCAGAAAAAGATGAAGAGGAGGTGGAGAGAGCACAAATCAACAGCTTTGACAGCCTCTGGGGAGAGACAGGTGATTGCTGGAGCTGCTGTGGATTCTTCTTGCATGTTTGTGTTTGTATTTCTGGGCTCCCCATCACCTGATGCATCCCTGCTCCTGGCATTGTTCCTCTGGTTGGATCTCAGGTGGTTTTTGCAGGTGCTCACACTCAGCTTAAGTCAAACAGAGAAGTTTGAGTTTTGTAAATCCTGAACCTCTGGGGCTCCTGGCACTGTCCAGAGTGTGTTGGCAGCATCTCTGACAGCCAGGCACTAGTTTCCCTGAAACATCTCACGTTGATTGAGATGGACACAAGATTCTGCTCTTTCTCCCTCATTATTGGGCATATTTATCCAAAGCATCTCCCTGTTTCTCTCTCCCCTTCCCAGTTACATCATGACTTTTAAATTATCTGTGGATTTCCAGGAAGCATCTCATTATTTAACACCTGGTAATTAAACCAGGTAAATGTTGTATTTTTGTATTGGTGGGTGCAAGACAGAAGCCCTGATTTCCTCATTCCCACCAAAATGAAAGCAGCCACTGACCCCACCCACTCCCCAGACACCCAGTGCATGATCATCTCCATCTCTTGAGAGATTCAAACTTGGAGTCGTTGGGTTTTAGCTCCAGTGACCTCGTCAATATTTTCCACTGTCGTTTGTACTCAACTCACTCATCTACTTGCATCACTGGTAATGTTCCTGTCAAGTTGTTGCACCAAGGAAGGTAATGTTCCTGTCTGGGTAACAGCACTGATTTTGATCTTGTCAGCTCTGTTTAAAAATGACATGATCCAAGGGTACAGACAGTGGCTGGTGCCTGGCTTGGTGCTCTGGCGGGTCCTTTCTGGTTAGAAGGGCAGGGAGGGGGAAGCTGGGTTATTGCTTGAGCTGATTTGGATGCTGTACATTTGAAAATGTAGCCTTATTAGAGCCTTGTGATGAATGGAGTGGAGCAGAAGGTCTTGCCCCTGAGCTTTAAAGGTTGGAGATGGAGGGATGAGTGGTGCCAGCAAGGAGCTGGGCCGGGCTGCTCTGGGCCACTCGTGAGGTGTGAGGGAAGGACTTGGCTCCTGCACATACCTGGGTAGCAAGGGCACTGTGCCCTTCTTAGCAGAAATCAGGGCAACATACCCAAATAAGCAATTTAGAAGTGCCTCTAGGGTGTCATGGGAGGAAAAGGAAATTTGAGATGGAATGAATCAAATGAAATGACTGCACGTTGGTGACAGGACAGGGCTTTGCTCCTGCTGAGGACACGGCTCATGGTGGTGACCCCACCAGAGACAGCTCACCCAGAATGTTCCCTGCTCTTGGGGGCCTGAGGACAATCTTGTAATGGTGATCCAGATGCCTTCAGAGTTAGATCAAAAGCCCCTGAGATGTCTCCCAGTGCTGTGACTGCATGGGAGATGTCAGATATTACAGATCCACTCCTTAAGTTCACAGAGTCTCAGGTTGTCCAGATGAGTCTGGCAAAGCCTGGTACAAAGCCACAGGCATTTTGGAGCTGGTGTCCAGCTCAACCTGTGCCTGGGTCTCTGCCTTCACAGGTCACACCATCCTGCTTGCTGCTCCTCAGCCCTCTGGTTGGAGAGCTGAGCACCAAACTCTCCTCCCTGGCAAAGTCCAGCTCTTCTTTTCCCTTTTCTTGTGTCCTGGGCAGCTCTGCTGGTCCCAGCCAGTCTGATGCCTTGAAGACTCTTCCACAGGAGCCCTTTCCATCTCTCTTTTCCACTTCCCACACCTCTTCTTTCAACAATTGCAAGAGCTGCACCCACACTCACATCTGGGACTTTCTCCTTTTGAGAGGGTTTCTGAATTACTGGGATAGCTGGGAATGGAGATTTGGGATGAGGAGCCATCTCAAGGGAACACCCATTTATTCCATTAGAATTGGTGGTAGATAAGATGGGAAAACAAACAAAAACAAGCCAACCACCAAGTTGAGCAGTCTTCTGTCCTGTCCCAGGCAGGCCAGATTTCCATGGATCTCAAGATTCCCTCTCACGTGGCTTTATTATGTTTGGGGTTTTTTTTCCCAGAAGTAAGTAGAAAGTGTAGATAAATTTGAAGAGAAATGCTGGTTTCCACCTAAAAATAGCAACCTGCTCTCAAAATCTGCATCATGCCTTGTCTGGTTTTTGATACTTGTTGCTCTTGTGTCTAATCTTGTGCAGAGCAGCCCTGGCTGCCTGGCTTAGTGATACCAGCCTGATCTCATCCCGATGGCACTGCCAGGTTGCATCATAAGTTCAGGAATTGCTGACAGCAAACCACAGCCAACTCCAGATGGAATATCTCTCCCCTGGGACAAGACTAATATCAAAACCCAGCAGAAAAGTATCTGAGTCACTTGTAATAACTCCATCAGAGTTGGAGGTGCAAAGAATGACTCCATCAAACAGCATTTGTCTTGTTGCCAGGCTGTGGAACAGACACACGTGCTGTAGAGGAGCAATTTAATGATGCCTTCTCCAGATAAAAGTTGGTTTTTTCTCTAAGGAAACAACCAGAGGCAGAATGTGCCTTTGGAGATCCCTGGTGCTGGAGGCTGAGGCTTGTCTTGATGTCACTCTCTGGTGGAGTCAGGCACATCCACACCTGAAACTTGTCTCAGGTTTTGTTTGAGTCGTGTTTTGAGAAACACAGCAACTGGTTTAGGGCATTTGCCAAGACCTTGTTATTGCACGGTGAGTTGTTCTCCTGGCACTACATCCTCATGGAAAAACTGCAGAATGAACATTCCTGTTTTCCAGCCCAGGATCCTGGTCACTGCTCCTTGGCTGGGCTTGATGGACTCGCCTTGTCCATGCCGGAGCTCTCTGGCAGACAGTTGAACTTCAAACAAAACCATTTCCAGTTCTCTCATTTCCCCTCCTCACCTCTCTGAGGCTTTTCCAGTCTCCTTTCAACATGCAGGCACAGCTTTACAGTGTGTTATGGGTTTTTTTGGAGGCTGATGGCTGCTGTGAGGCACGTTGGTAATGTCAGCAACAGGTTGCTAGGTCCATCTAAGGAGCAGCAAAAGGCTTCAATAAGCAGGTACTTTTAGAACTTTTCCTGAAATTGAGCTTGTGAGCTTGGAAGGTTGGACACAAGCCACAGGAAAGTGCTCTGAGCTTGAGGTGACCAGCAGTGGAGCTGGAACTTGGGGATGACAGAAGCCACTTTGGTTAGAAGGCTGTGGAGACACAGGATTGATGCAGCTGCATGTGGAGCAGCAGCTGATTGTCCAGCTTGTTGCAGCTGGAGTGACCATAGGGCTTATCTACTCCAACCTCCTGATCAAAGCATAGACACTGATGGGGTCTGGGTGTACCTTGGTGAGTTGGTCTCCTGGGGTCCAGACAATCTGAGCTCCTTTCACCCTCAGAGTTTCTCCATTTCTGAGGATATGTGCTTGGGTAGCACCCAAGGATGGGTTTGTCTCAGCAGCAGGCAACAAATCCAGGTCATCAATGTGGAGCCTTCCTGAAGCAGCATGATCTGACTGCTCAGTATCACTGAAGCTTTTGAGCTGCTCTTGAGTTGGAGCTGTGAAGGACAGGCTGGAGCTGCATACCCACACCAGTTGCTTTGACCCTGAGAAGCAAAGTAGCTCTTGAAGTAGCACCAGGACATGTCAGTGCAGGCTGAGTGGGTTGCAGGGTGGAGTGGAGAAGGGTATGGCCATGGATCAGGTCATCCTGTTTCAGTAAAGTCTTTCCCAAAGAACATTTCAGGGTGACCACTAACCACTTCAGTAATATTCCAGTATTTTCACTGCTGCAAATCTTAAGTCGTTTTGACGTGAAACACCTCAAATTAACCTGCAGCATTTGGAGAGCAGGCAGGGTTAGAAATAGAGCCCTCAAAGCCCAACATGCTGGTCCCTCTGCTGTGCACATCACACACAGTTCTCCTTCTATATTTGCAATTTACGTTCAAAACCCACATGGATCTGATTATAGATCCTGCAGTATGTTCTGCTGGTAGCAACGAGATGATTTTTCTTTTAACTCTTGGTGTCTCTCAACCTCAAGAGGAGAAGACTCAACCATAATGTGGAACAGAATAGAAGGATTAATGAAATGCCCCACCATGAACAGTGTTGCAGTTGGAAACCCATCAACACCTCATAATCAGCCATCCCACAGGAATGTGCTTCAAAAGAGAAAACAAGCAACATCAGTTAGAAATAGACTCCCACCTTCTGCTCAAACTCCTACTAGAAGCAACAGAGCATCAGCCAGAGGAGCTGTGCTGAAGCACAGGGAACATTAAGGAGAGGAGGGAGGAACCAAAAAGTCTAAAATTATCACTGAGAATGAGGCAAAGGCAGGTCCTGCACTTGGAACTATTTTCAGAATGAAGGTGTCTTCTAACCCAACCCTACTTTCTGAGTTAACAAAGCACACGTTGTCAAGGAAGGAGCTGTCAGGTGTCACCTCTTCCCACCTGTGAGCATCTCTCATACTGAAAATGAGAGAAAATGTTGGTTTTGCACAAAGACCTTTGCTGGTGGGATCAGCCCTAGCCAGAAGCAAAGCCCTGAGTTACGTTTTTTTCTTGGAGAATGATGAACATATTCAAACTTGTCCTGGTTTTTGCTTTCCAGTTGCTTCCTTCGTTTCAAAGATCTCCAGGCTACAATGGGGTATTAAAAATTAAAGTCCTTTGTCTTAATTGTGCTGTTCTGTGCTTGTTCAGAGAAAAGCCACAAATCTGAGAGCTGTGCAGTGGCTGGCAGGGACCTGTTGGTGCCTCCAGCTTAATCCCTAGTTGTTCTCACGTAGTTGTGGTGCAGCACGTCAAGGACAGGTTGCAGAAGGTCTTTCCAAGACAGCATTTACCTAAAGACCTGAGGTTTCTTGGGACGTTGTGCCCCCACTAAGACACACTCCATCTTGTGGCCCGTGGCTTTTGCAGGAGGGGGAGTGCTGAAGGCCTGAGGGAAGTGGTGAAGGTTTCATGTGACAAGTTTCTACACATCTTTGCAGCAGCACCTCAGCGCTCAGTCACACGTGCCTGGAGATGATTTGCTCCCTAGTGCAGTTCTCACCTGGTTTCACTGCGACTTGTTGAAATAATCAAAGCTGATT